TGAGACATTAACCACAACACTGGCCAAAGGTGCGAAATCTAAAAGGTTGTCATTGAGCTTAATAAGAGTATATTTGGCTACAGGCAAGAAAGCTATATTTAAAAAGAAAAGTGCAGTGCAATGACTTTATTAATGAATTCAAGATCTTTTTAACTTAAGCTTTAGTATTGAAAAAGCTAAAAATGGCAGGGGGCACTACTGAGACTTCACTATTTGTAATAGTCATTTTTTTCTTTTAATTCAGCAATGAATATTATCAACCGACTTTGCCAAAAACATATGCCAGAGAGGAGCCATAAATGAGAAAGACATAGTATTTGCTTTCCATTTGTTCATAATCTAGCAGCAAATAATGGTACTAATAATAACAGTGTAATAGTAACTCAGCAAATATTATACAGTGATTACATTCACCACTATTTTAGGTGCTGTACATTTCTAAATAATTTACAACAACCCTATGAGATTGATGATGTAGGCAAGTACCTAGATGTGGTAATATAATACAGTATGAGGCCCTAGTTGCCCTTAGAGCTTGAATAATGTGTTCTTGCTGGAGCAGAAATGGAATGGGTGGTGGACATACATGGCCAAAAGTGCGCATTGTATCTCTGCCCCTTAAACATAGATCTTTTGGACTTTCACTAGATCCATTGGCTATTTAGTTTTCACATCAATTGATAATACTGTCTTAGTACATTTGGGTTGCTATAACAAAAATATCATACACTGGGTGTTTAAACAATAAACATTTATGTCTCACAGTTCTAGAGGCAGAGAAGTCCAAAATCAAGTCAGATTTGGTTTCTGGTGAGTGCCCTCTCCCTGGTTTATAAGATAGATATATTATCACTATGTCCTCACATGACAGACTGGGTGAGGGAGCTCTCTGTGGTATCATTTATAAGGGTGCTAATACCATTCATGAGGACTTTAGACTCAAAATCTAATCACCCACATGTGCCTCTACTTTTAATGATATCCCTGTGAGTTAGGATTTCAACATATAATTTTTGGGAGGGACACAAATATGCAGACCAAAACAAATACTAAGCTTGTACTTTTTAAAAATGAATGCTAAATATTGTATAAAACTCCTCTGTAATTAGCTCTTAATATAACAGGTATTATTACATAAATAAGAGAATTATGGAAACACTTATAAAGATGTTAATAGTATCTAAAATATTTCAATAAGAGAAATGACAGACAAAGTTATATGAGAAAGAAATGCAGCAGATGATATGTCCTAGAATAGACAAAGTGTGTTAGACACCCGTCATAGAAGGCCTTGAATGTTAGCCTTAGAATTTTGGGTACCTAAGTCAGGGGTTGGCAAACAACTATCTGCCTGTTATAGTCCAATCCATGAGCTAAGGATGGGTTTCTATTTTTAAATGATGGAAAAAAAATAAAAAATAAAAAATTCATAAAATTTATATAGAATTTAAATCTCAGTGCCTATAAATAAATTATTATTTGAAAACAACCATTGTTTGCACATGGCAGAGAACATGTGCTACAAAATCTAATATTTCCTGTCTTCTGCATTACAGAAAAAGTATGCAGACCCTCACCTTAGATATAATTCTTTTCTTATTTTATTCTATATTTCATCTTCTTTGATGACAATAAACTTAGAGAACCCATTTTATAATTTGGGAACTAATATACCAAACACACTGCTTCTCTCTTTCAGTGTCTCTGACATCGTTGTCATTTGTTACTTGAAAGATGAAAAAAGCATTGTGTGGAGGTCACAGAATCATTTTATGGCTTTGCTTGTTTGGGTCTGTATGACTCTTAATTGATTCCAGCATCTTATTAATCTCACATATTACTAAATGTTATGGACTACAGGGTGAATGGCGTTTTGTTTAAATTTCCAGTTACAGACATTTTCCATGTATATGTAGTTTCAAATATTGAAATGAATCTATATAGATATTACTTGTATTTTTTCCTTTTCCTTCTCTTCTTTCTTCATCTGTTCTTTTAAATTGTACAAGTGTGGCCCTAATGATTAAATCTAGTAGTTATGGAATATATTAATTATATACAAATCAATAATGAGAAAGACTAATAAAAATTAAAATTTTATTGCAAAAATATTGTCTTCATATGTTTAACAATCCTATTCATGACATAATTCCTCTCTTTGGAAACTGGTATCTCTGGCTTATTCTGATGTGCTCCAAAAATAATTTTGTATAGCAATTCCTTTTGTCTGTAATCTTGATTCATAGCCTTTCATATCAATTCTTTTATTGCTCTATTTTCATAATAGCTTTTAGGCAACCAATCATCATGCATAATACTGTGTTTCTTTATGACTTTGTAGCATCCAGATGTCTATACTTCATGTTGTTGCCTTTTAGAAACATTTTAAAAAAATAAGTTGCTATAAAATAATTGCATTTGTTTGCACAGTAAATTTTAAGTTATTCTTTCATAAAAGAGACGAACTTTTACTTGAAAACAGAAATATTTGATATCCTTTTTGGTAAGTTGAAACTAGAACAAATATCTTAAAGATTGTGGTTTTGCATTCATTTGAGAAGAGTTGGCAAATAGCAGGTTTTAACAAGTTCTATTATATATAGATACATAATATTTGGATATAAAGATTCCTTATAATTATTCATTTTTATAAGGAACATAAGACCAAACTGAAAATGTTATTATCCAAACTATTTATGAGTATGCTTAGGTTTCTCAGTAAATGTTTTTAGGTAAATAAGTATGTTTTGCTTTATTCTTGTAAGTTCCCCGAAATAAATGTTGAATTTTATGTATAGTCCCAAGGTAGTTTTAGTGATTAGGCCAGGTTTTTTAAAAGAATTGTAAAAAAGAATTGTATCAGAATTACCTGATTAGCCTTCTAAAAATACATATACTGTGCCTCATCCTGGACCTGCTGGATCAGAATTTTCTTGGAAGGGACCAAGGCCAAGTGTTTTTTCACAAAGTTTCCCTGTTTGGTTCTGATTCTCTCCTTAAGCTGACAAGCATTCCACCCTTAAGCTAGACCCTGTTTTAAATAATAAACAACCAAAAAAGGGAGCCTCATAAAAAAGTCACTGAATTTGTTGATATAATGCTATTTATGGCACTATTCACCATGTGCCCCAACATTTGTGTATGAAATCTCAGATAAGAATTAAATCTTTCTCTTTTTTCCTGGAGAAATTCTATGAAATGTTCTGTGGTCAAGAAAAACAATATGCCTGACTGTTTTTTTTCCCCACTTCCCACTTTGGCCATCACAATTCTCTATGTCAAAGGTATAGTTCAATTTTAAGGCTCTTGTTTCCTGGATATCTGTGTTCTAAATTTTTTTTCTCCCAAATTCAAGAAAAGTATCCCTTAAGAATTTATTGAGATTCATCTATTTACCAAAAGAACAACAGATACTAGGAATAATAGTGATGAACAAAACAATCTGGGTTTATAATCTAGTGGATGAGACAAATGTTAAATAAACATCTCAGTAAGTCTTCTCTGGTCTAGATATTGTAAACCTACTTTGTTATTAATTTATATATTTTTCTCCTTGTATTATCTAGAGATGAACCATGGAATTTCTTTATGTAATATTTATGTACAAACACACACATATAGTGTGTGTATATATATTTATATGTAAAGCATATATGAATATATGTGTGTTATACTTTATGTAAAAAAGTTATATATATACACCATATACAGTACAGTATGTGTTATATATAGTGTAATGTGTGTGTATATATATCCTATTTTATAACTAGACTTTTATTTATTCTGATCACCATCACATCCTTTGTGGGATGAGTTGGAATATATGTATGCCTACATATATACACACACATATGCCCATATATATACAAACATATACATAGTGAATGTATTTGAATTACAACTCTCAGCATTACATATTAGCTCATTTTTCTTAATGCTTTTTTGTTAAATATTGAAAATTAAGTAAATTATGCATTATATGTGATATTTCTTTAAAGTCCTTTATAATTTTAAATGTTATTTTTTATTTTAGCATATTATGGGGGTACACATTTTTAGATTACATATATTGCCTTTGCCCCACACATTATTAAATTTGAAAAGTAATTTGGGGGAGTTTTATGGTGATGAAACTGAAATTGAAAGTTATAAAAAGCTATTACTCTCTACACATTGGAATAAGAAGCATGGTATTGTCACAACTTCTACATGTTGTGTATATGATTCCTTATTCACAGATGGTGCTTTACTAATGCACCATTTAATTGCCCTTTCAAACTTTTTAAGCTCCCATGTGGTTTCATTTGGAAGCTATTTTTGAGGAAAATGTTAGCATGTTCATCCTCTTGGAAAATTAGATACAAAATAAAGATTCTACAATATAACTGTCAACTGTCTAAAACAAAGAGAGATAAATATACTGTATTTTGATTGAGAAATAATGAAGGCATAAATGATGCTTTATCGGGAAGAACTGAGTTTGCTGTCAAACTGGACAACTTCAGTATGGCAATTCTGCCACTGAAGGTACATTTTGAGTAGCTGAAAACTCAGGATCTTAATGTAGTCCCCTAAATCACTGACCTTTTAAGCGAGAAACTCAATGGAAAGTTGTAGTTTTCTTCCTTTTTAATATGCACCCCTGGGTGGTGCAGTTAAATTACATGGTGGAAAGAATATTACATTGATGTCCCTGTTGGAAAGGTTTTAAAATTTGATCAGTTTTCTTTCAAATAATATACTAAAGACCCACCTATGTCTGTCCATGCGACATATAGCAGCAGAGTGGATTAAGTTCTTTTAAAACTACTTAGCATTGTTTATGAGCCAGAAGAGCAGCAGGGATTTTGATTGACATTATTATTTATTATTTTTGAACGCTGATGGTTCATTTTCATGGCAGAGTCCCCTCTATGTTTATTGATATTCATAAATGAAAAGGCTCTGCTTTGCTGACTATTTAATTGCTAATTTCATTTTCCTAATAACTTGCTTTATAGGAACTGGATTTTGAAGCCAAAACAAGTTATACACTACGAATAGAAGCTGCAAATAAGGATGCTGACCCTCGCTTTCTAAGCTTGGGGCCATTCAGCGACACGACAACAGTGAAGATAATTGTGGAAGATGTGGATGAGCCCCCTGTGTTTTCATCGCCCTTGTACCCCATGGAGGTGTCGGAAGCCACTCAAGTTGGAAATATCATTGGCACCGTAGCGGCTCATGACCCAGATTCTTCCAACAGCCCTGTGAGGTAAAAGCCCACTGCTCTCCTCTTCTACAAGTTCACATCAATGTGCCTTCATTCACAATTTTGTTTTTACATTAAGATACTTTTTTTTGTTGATAACACATAAAAAAACATTTTATATATGTATCAGGTCATAGCAACAGAGGTGAAGCAGGATCAGAACAACACGACATTGTACTAATTAAAAAAGGTCATCCAAGGCCATTATTACGTAGCCATATCTTTAGGCTTCCACTGTTATCCACAAGCCAGGGAGGATATTTCTATTTAACCAATTATCCTGAGCCTCTTTAAGCAAACTGTGTTCAAAACTGAAGTGATGCATGTCCTTGCTGCAGGGTAAATGCATATTGTTAGAAAAATAATTGTATCAACAATTTAAATTAAAGATTAATTTTAAACAAATGTTTTATATTAGTCCACTTAGTATATATTCATTTAGTTTATTATTTCCACTTATAAAAATAAAATAGTACCTTGTCTATGTATAAAGACCATTAAAAATATTCTTTCAATAGTCTTGTATGTAGACTAGAAACATTGTTAAAGCCAAATAATCTCTTTATGACTAACACAATGATGATATGTAAGCATTTCAAAATATGCCAGTATTCCATCTTGCACTGTTTATCTATAATTTATAATCTAACATCTACATGTTTGTTTGTGTGTGTGCATGTGTTTGTTTGTGAGTGTAATCTTTATTCTTGAGTTAATATTATAAATAGAATGTACTTGAAAGAAATTGTGCATTATAATATATGTCTTAATTTGGGCTCTCAAGATGCTTCACTTTTCAATGTGAAGGTTTGATTTTGATTACAAAGACTATAATGTAAAAAAACAATATTTTTTTTGTATTCAGATATGGTCAACTTATAAGCTAACCACAGACTTTTAGATTTAAATGATCTTTAAGAATGGTAAATGTGGCCGGGCGTGGTGGCTCACGCCTGTAATCCTAGCATTCTGGGAGGCCAAGGAGGGTGGATTGCTTGAGGTCGGGAGTTCTAAACCAGCCTGAGTGAGACCCCATCTCTACTAAAAATAGAAAGAAATAAATTGACCAACTAAAAATATATATATACAAAAAATTAGCTGGGCATGGTGGTGCATGCCTGTAGTCCCAGCTACTTGGGAGGCTGAGGCAGGAGGATCACTTGAGCCTAGGAGTTTGAGGTTGCTGTGAGCTAGGCTGACGCCACGGCACTCACTCTAGCCAGGGCAACAAAATGAGAGTCTGTCTCAAACAAAAAAAAAAGAATGGTAAATGTTTTTGAGCTAAGTCTTGACATTGGCTATAGAATGTCATGAAAAGTATTTATAATTTAGACAATAATTCTTGGTTAAGAAAAACGGATAATGCTCTTTTCTCCCTTAAGTAATACATTGATTTTACATATATATATATATTTAAAATCTCAATATTTTAAAATAATCATACATATAGTTAGTTTAGCTAGTGTCTTCCTTTTCTTTTCTTTTGCCTGATATTAAAAGAAACTAGTAAAGAGGTGGTACAGAATAATAGTTATTTAAGAAATGATATTGATTTAATAATGAATCATGATTTAATGATATGATTTAATAATGAATCATATTCATTATTTCCCTATCTCTACAAAAATTTCAGGATATATGGATGATTATACTATTTTCAATGTGGTAATCATAAATCATTTCTAAGATTATACTTTCTGTACACTAGAATATTTGCACACCACAAATGTGCCAGACAGAATAAGCCTCCCCTCCATCCCTCTAATAACTCTGCCTTCGTTGTCAAAAATGCTTCCTGACTAGAGCTCAGCCCCACCTATCCAGTCGCATTGACTTGGGAACACTTGAATTAGGTTTTGTTATAGTATTCCATCTCTCAGTGAAACACTTAAGTCGCCTGCCCTCATGAACAGTCAACCATGGCACAATTGTAGACATAGATTAGCTACTTAGGATACTTTGACTATGCTTAAAACATTTAATTTAATAGGGAGGAAGAAAGACATACTTTCATGAAGTTGGAGATATGAAGAAAGAGACACATTAATATACATTGTAATTTAGTACTAAAATGAGTGAGGAAGCCAAGTGCAGTGTGGTAGTGCACCTGTATTCCCAGCTATTCCTCAGGAGGCTGAGGCAGCAGGATCACTTGACACCAGTAGTTCAAGATTGCAGTGTGTAATGGTCACACCTGTGTATAGTCACTGCACTATAGTTTGGTCAACATAGCAAGACTTCATCTCTAAAAATAAATAAAATAAAAAAAGATTTAAGAGCATTTTGATTGATTGCATTGATATTTTTGTCTTGTTCTTATTTTTCCTTTACTTTCTTCCCTTGTGTGCCATACTATTGAAGCCTTCAGAGAAAATATTTCACTTTTTAAAATATTTTATTTGAAAAATAACAGTATTATAGAATAATCTGTAGAAGAAGGAGGAAGTGTAGGCCCAGGTGGGTACTGTCTTGAGTCAGAAAGAGATGAAGTGAACTCCAGGACTATTCTCTGAAGCACAGAGATAGAATGAGTCAAAGACTGAACTCTATTGATTTTAAAGGTGGAGATATCTGTGGCCTTTATCAGTGAAAGAGTAGCTGGCCAGCATCATATCGTATTTTTACCTTGTTTTCGTTTTCTTTTCTTTTTTTCCAAAGAAACTTAAGATTGTCAAGAAAAATTTATTTATTTATTTAAATAGATTTAGAGGTACTCATTTTTCTTTTCTTTCTGTCTTTTTTTTTTGTTACATGGCTGAAGGGGATTTCCCCTTCTGAATCTCCAAGGTCCATTAAGTCACTTTGTATGACCATGCATAACCATTGCTTAGCTCCTGATTATAAGAGAGAACATGGAATATTTGTTTTCTTTTTGTTCCTGGGGTACTTCACTTAGAATAATGTCCTCCATTTCCAATTTGTTGCAAAAGACATTATTTCATTCTTTTTGATGGCTGAGTAATATTACACTTTGTGTGTGTGTGTGTGTGTGTGTGTGTGTGTGTGTGTGCGCGTGTGTATTCTACATTTTCTTTATCCACTCCTCAGTTGGTGGAAACTTAGGTTCCATATTTTTACAATTGTGAATTGGGCTATGATAGACATATGGGTGAAGGCGTCTTTTATATAAAATGACTTCTTTTCCATTGGATAGATCCCAGTAGTGGTATTGCTATTAGTAGATAGAATGGTAGGTCTACTTTTAGTTCTTTGAGAAATCTCCATAGTATTTTTCATAGAGGTTGTACTAATCTGTTTCCACCAACAGTGTTTAAGCACTCCCTTTTCACCATATGGGAGCCATCTATTGTTTTTTGACTTTTTAGTAGTGGTCATTCTGACAGGGTCAGGGTCAGGGTCATTCTGTCATGTGTGTCTCATTCTGGTTTTGATTTGCATTTCCCTACTGATTAGTGATGTTTAGCATTTTTTCATGTTTGCTGGCCATTTATTTCTCTTCTTTTGAAAAATGTCTGTTAATGGATTTTGCCTACTTTTTAGTGGGGCTATTTATTTATTTTTATTGCTAATTTGTCTGAGTTCCTTATGAATTCTGGATATCAGATGTATAGCTTATAAATATTTTCATATTTACTTCCATTACATAGGTTATCTGTTTACTCTGTTGATTATATCTTTTGCTGTGCATAAGTTTTTAGTTTAATTAAGACCTATTTATCCATTTTTATTTTTGTTAAATTTATTTTTGGGGTCTCAGTCATGAATTCTTTTTTTAGGCCAATGTCAAGAATAATTTTTCCTAGGTTTTCTTCTAATATTTTTATGGTTTCAAGTCTTACATTTAAGTCTCTACTCCATCTTTAGCTAATTGTGGTATATAGTGAGAGATAGGGGTCCAGGTTTATTCTCCTGTATGAGACTATCCAATTTTCCCAGAATCCTTTTTGGAATAGGGTGTGCTTTCCCCCATGTATGCTTTTGTCTACTTTGTCCAAGATCAGTTGGTTGCAGGAAATTACTTTACTTATGGGCTTTCTATTTTGTTCCATTGGTCCACTTGTCTATTTGTATAGCAGCACCATGCTATTTTATTTACTCTTGCCTCCAGATTTGCTCTTTTCGCTTAAGATTTCTGCAAAGATCATTCAGCAGCAGGCTGTTTAATTTTCATGCATTTTTATAGTTTTGAGAGTTCCTCTTGGAATTGATTCTAGTTTTGTTCCACTATGATCTGAGAAGATACATGGTATGATTTCAATTTTTTCAAATTTTCTGTGACCTGTTTTGTGGCCTAACATATGATCTACCTTGGAAAAAGTTTCATGTGCTGATGAGAAGAATGTCTATTCTGCAGTTTTGGAGTAGAATGTTATGTAAATGTCTCTTAAGTCCATTTGTTCTAGAGTCCTGTTTAAACTCAATGTTTCTTTGTTGATTTTTCTGCCTTAATGACCTCTCTAATCTGTCAGTGGAGTGTTGAAATTCCCTATTATTATGTTCTTATGTATTTCATTTCCAAGCCCCATGATTGGCCAGAATATAGCACCATTCTGAGTATTATGTCTTTTTTATACTTTGTCCACCAACCAGATAGCTTACCTAGACCACTATTTGATGTATACTTTGCTTTCCTCTTTTACCATTGGGAAACTAAAACTGAGGTCAAAGCCAAAGGTAAAAATTAGGTGATATTTGAGATTACTTAATTGGAAGCAACAATAAAAAAAATGTTTGTAAAGTAAAGGTGGGTAATAGAGGGCAAACACTTTCTGCTTTGCTATTATTTTAAGTAATTGTTGATTATTTTATGTACATTTTAGCCCTGAATACTAAATATCAGGCTTTATCTATTAAACTTCTTTTTTCTCATCCAAGATGGTAAAAATTGCAAGAGCTGTCTAGAGAATTCCAGACTCATTTTTCATGTAAGCATTGGCAGACTAATCAATGACAGAGCATATATTTATTAAGAACCTGCTTTGTGCAAGCCACAGGGGGAGATGCTGATAGGAAAACAAAGATAAATTAAACATTTTCTCTGA